CTGGTCAGATATAGTGAGCTGTCCCTCATCCTTATAACAAGCTCCATTAATATTGCCACAAACCACAGGGAAACCCCAAAGATTTTCTAAGTGGCTTCCAAATTTCTGCATAGATGCCCTTATTTAGTCCAGAGGTAAATAATAAACAGGTTGGCATAGATGTTAGAAGGATAACTGAAAGGAAAAAAATGTTAACAATTGGCAAGTCTAGAATGAAGTATCCATGGGAGTTCTTTATACCATTCTTTTGACTTAATTTTTGAGTTACAGTTGCTTTAGTGTCATTGTGCTCTTTTCCAGCCTTGCCTAAAAAATATATTCAGTTATTTTTTTTCAAATCAGAAACAAAAAATCAGCTCTTCCTCAAGTGATGCCCCCTTTCTATTCTGTCTAAGAAAGCTTACAAAGCTTTCTGGAAAGCTTAAATTAAGGGGCTACAGTACACTGATATGGTTTTGTAGTTCTTGGATGGTGTCTGGCTCAAGCTCTCACCGAAGGTCTGTGCTGTTCACTGCTCTGTCCACAACAGTCAGGTGGCTGCAGCTACAGAAGAGAGGTGGATTCTTGCTGTGTGGGTGAAATCCTTTCTGGTAACAGGAAGATATCTCCCCTAGTCCATGGTCAGTTAGTTTAAAGAATCCAGTTTCCTGGAACTTGGGTGAGCAAACAGTGGCTATTGACTCTGGCAACATCATCTGGTAGGAGCAGTGAGTGTGTAGGTCAACACTGGAGAGAAAGGCGGTCTGTGTGGGATGAGTATGAATCCAGCCCAGTGTGATGAGACACTGCTGATCCTGTATGAGGAAAAGAGAAACATAACATTATCCACACAGAAGGGGGAAAAGTCTGTAGCGGGAAGGAGATTTGTTCTTCATCTAAGCATAAACATCTATTTACTAAATTTGGGGGTAGGATACAAGGCATACATTTTACTTTTCTCTGAGACATCAGAATGTAAAGGACTACAATTATTTGTTAGGATTAAAAGCAAATATCTCTATTTTTAATCCAACTACCTGGGAAATTGGCTGATGACTCATCAAAAAATGATCACATCAAGTAATGGTGACCTTCATAATCATATATAATGTTTTGCTATATTCTTTGTTTCTACTTTGTATATATGTGTTTGTTTTTTTTTATTTCAAAGTATAATGGGGGTACAAATTTTTTGGTTACATGGATCACTTTTATAATGCTTGAGTCATAGTTATAAGTGTGCTTCTCACCCAGATAGTGTTCATTGTACCCATTACGTAGGTTTGCTCCCATCCCCTCCTCCCCACTTCCCCCTACATGCTTTCTGTTGAGTTTTACTTCCCTCTACGCACATGTGTACTCATCAATTAGTTCCAATTTAATAGTGAGTACATGTGGTGGTTGTTTTTCCATCTTTAGATACTTCACTTGGGATAGTGGTCTCCAGTTCCATCCAGGTTGTTGCAAAGGGCATTAAGTCAGCCTTCTTCGTGGTTGAGTAATATTCCATGGTATACATATACCACATTTTGTTAATGTATTCATGAATTGATGGGCATTTGAGTTGATTGCACTTCTCTGGAATTGTGAATTGTGCTGTAACAAACATTTGAGTGCATTGAGTCATTTTGATAAAATGACTTATTTTCCTTTGGGTAAATACCCAGTAGTGGGATTGCTAGATCAAATGGTAGTTCTACTACCAACATTTCTACTTTTAGTTCTTTGAGGAATCTCTATACTGTTAGGTCTAATTGTTCTGGTGTCCCATATAAGTCCAAAGTTTCTTCAGGTATTTTCTGCTCGGATGATCTTTCTAGTTCTGTCAGTGGGGTGTTGAAGTCCCTGGCAATTATGATGTTGCTGTTTATCTCTCTGCTTAGATCTAGTAGGGTTTGTTTTATGAATCTGGATCCCCCTGTGTGAGGTGCATACATATTTAGAATTGTTTTGTCTTCTTATTGAATTGCTTCCTTTTTCATTATATAATGACCATCTTTGTCTTTTTTTACTATTGTTGACTTAAAGTCAATTTTATACGTGATACGAGAATGGCTACACCTGCTTTCTCTTGGTTTTCAGTTGCATGGAATATTTTATTGCATCCCTTAACCTTGAGTCTGTATGAGTCCTTGTGGGTTAAATGTGTTTCCTGGAGACATCAGATACTTGGCTTGTATTTTCTTAATCCATTCAGCTAGCCTATGTCTCTCGAGTGGGAAATTCAAGCCATTCACATTGATTCCATTGATTGATAGAATTGATATGTAGGATGTTGTTCTGTTCATCCTGTTGGGTAGTACCTTACTGCTTTTTCTTTCTTATTTTTTTTTTTTATCTCTTGTACTATTGTTTAATTTGAGCTCTGAGCTTTAGCTTTTGGATGGTATTACACTTGTGGGTGACCATTTTGCTGATCCATGCATAAGGCAGTTTGGAATATTTCCTCCAGGGCAGGTCTTATCTTGCCAAATTCCCTCAGTGTTTGCTTTGTCGGAAAAGTCTTTATTTCTCCTTCATTTATGAAACTTAGTTTTGCAGGATACAAAAATCTAGGTTGGCAGTTGTGTTTAAGACTGAATATAGGGCCCTAGTATTTTCTGTCTTGTGAGGTCTCAGTCGAGAAGTCTGCAGTTAGCCTGAAGGGTTTTCCTTCATAAGTTACTTGACATTTTTGCCTTATGGCTGGAGGAGTTCCTCCTTCATGTTGACTTTAGCCAGTCTGATGACTATGTGTCTTGGTGATTGCCTCTTTGCAATGAATCTCCCAGGTGTTTTTTAAGCTTCTTGTACCTGGTTGTCAAAATCTCTAGCAAGATCAGGGAAGTTTTCCTAAATTATTTCCTCAAATAGGTTTTCCAGACCTTGTGTGTTTTCTTCCTTGCCCTCAGGTATGCCTATGATTCTTATATTTGGCTATTTTACATAGTCCCATATTTCTCATAGGCTTTGTTTGTTCCTCTTAATTCTCTGTTCATTATTTTTGACTGACTGAGTTAATTTGATAGAGTAGACTTCAAACTCTGAGATTCTTTCTTCTGTGTGGTCTAGTCTAAAACTTTCCACTGTGTTTTGTATACCCTTAAATAAATTTTTCATTTCTAGAAGTTATGTTTGGTTTTTCTTTTATATGTCTGTCTCTTTAGTGAATTTTTCATTCATTTCTTGAATTGTTTTTCTGGTTTGTTGGAGATGGTTTTCCATTTTCTCTTGGATTTCATTGAGCTTCCTTACAATCCATATTTGGAATTTTTTTATCTGTTATTTCAATATTTTCATTTTGCTTAGAATATGTTGCTAGAGAGCTGGTGTTCCCTTCAGGGGTGTCCTTTCACTCTGATTTTTTATACTTCTGGAGTTCTTTTGTCGATTCCTTCTCATCTGGAGCAGCTGTTGCTTCTTAATTTTAGATTTTCTTTTATTTTGATTGGGCTTTACTCCACCCTCACTTGTAAAGGAGTGTCTGTAGCATATGTTGGGCAAGAACCTTTGGCTTTGCTTGTGGGTGCTTTGATGGCAGTCCAGGCTCTGGTTGGTTGCTTTGGTTATATATATCCTTAGCGTGGTGGTTTTCTCAGTTGCTAGTTGTTTATGGGCTATAGCGATGGTGAACTCTGTGTTTGGGCAAATTCCCTGTCTCTCTTTGATGAGAGAGGACGAAGACCTTTGAAATCCTATCTCTTTCCTCAGTCCTGTGGTATTCTTAGCAGTGTGAATTGTAATGGCACTTTCAGTTCAATCTTTGAGACGGTAGGTGGTACTTGTGGGTGAGAATCACCTTACTCTGTATGATTGAGTCAGTAAATGCTGTAAAGGGCTGTGCAAATTGACCTACCTGTCAGTAGATGGCATTTGCCAGAAGGAACAAGCTGCAGTGCTGATTTTGTGACTGGTTCTAGTCCTTCAGGAGGAGCCCAGGTGGTGGGTGGGGCCCTGGAACTTCCAGGTGATTCCTTTTCTCTGCCACAGCAGAGGTGGGTGGGGGAGCGAGGCTGGGTGGGTCTGGGTTGGGTGAGCTTGCCCCCAGGCTCCACAAAGTCTGGTAAGGTGGCTGTTTTGGCCTGGTTCAAAGATCTGCTCCTAGCCCCTGGGGAAAGCCACCAGGGAGGGGCTGAAATGGCCCTACCCACCCAGAAAGTGTGCTTGTGGAGACGGGGCCATCTGAGATTCATAGCCTGGCCGTCTAGCTCTCACACCTCTCCCTGGCCTGTTTGTCTGACCTAATTAGCTCCCTAATTGTATACTCTGGATCCACTGTATGTCCCCAAGGGGGAAAATTGTGGGTTACACTTTCCATGGAAGCTGCAGGTTATAGCAGACCCTCACTGGGGAGAGGCAGCTGCTTGCCAAATTCTTGGCCCAAACTGCTCTCCCAACTGGAATGGGAGGGAGCGGCCACAGAATGCAGTCTGAGTGCCTGAATGCACCACACCGGGTTGCTATTGCATCTGTGAGTGTGGTCTTCCTCGAGGCAGGACCCACCCTAATTAAACAGGGTGGTTTTCCAGCAGGGTGATGGGCATTCTCCCAGATTACTGGGTTTGGGAACCCCACAGTATTCTCCTGTCAGATCTGTCCACGTGGGCTTGCCCACCACCTGAGTCCAACTCCCAGACCTCTCCCCTGTATCCCCAGCAACCTACTCAAGTCTGGGGGGCATGGTGGTCTGGTTTGCTTGTCTGACCCGCTGCTGTGGGACTCCGCAAAACACTGGCAGGCAGGGCAAATTGGGAATCCCGGGTCCACTACAGGTCCCCATTGGGAAATGCATGGGACCCACACTCTGTGGAAGCCTCAGCCTGCAGCATGTGCCCACTGCGGAGGTGCAGCCCCTTTCCAAGTTTTGGTCCCAACTGCTTTTCCAGTTGCAGTGGGTGGGGGAGGGGTGGGAAAGGCAGCATCTGAATGGAAGAAAGCCAGCTCTCCAGCTTCTTGTGATACTCTCCTTGGAGGAATCCCCACACGCAGTGTCCAAGCTCTAGGGTCACAGAAGTTCTCCCCACCATACCACGTTTGCAGCCATGCCTGGGCTCGTGGGGGTGGAAAAGCCTCCAAGAAACTTGGTAGCCTGGAAGCCACTGAATGCTTGTGGAAGGGTAAGAGAGATCCCCCCTTACCCTTTCACAGGGTTTGGTCCTCTCCGATATCTTTTTTCCTTTATCTTCCTCCTTCTCTGCTTTGCAATTTACCTCCATGAGATCCCTGGTAGCCTCCAGCACCTCTCTCTATGATCTACACATGCTCTGCATCTCTTCTCCCCTTTCCTTTATCTGAAATCCAATCTTCCCTCCAGGACAGTCCGGCTTGCAATGTCTCTAGTCAGCCATTTTGCCTTGACTCCCCTTCATACATATATTTCTTATTTCTTAAGTAACAGAGCACAGAGTACATAATTTTCAAAGCATTTATTAAGTGATATCATATCATAATAAACTATAATGTAAAAGTTTTTATTAAAGTATATTAAATTCACTGTCTGAGTGGCTCATGTTTCTAAAGTAAATTTCTATATCCATGGTAATTCTGGGAAATGATTATTTCAATCAGCCTTTCATAGATTGTGATTTAGCAACAAAATGCAAAGACTTTATGTATTTATTTATAAGGCCATGGTGGGATTAAGAAACAAATCTGAAAAACTGCTCTTTGCAGAAATTCTTGGTTCCTTAGTTGAAATCAGTTTTTGTTGTTCTTAGTCAGTGAGGTTTATGTTTCAAACACAGATTCCTTTTAGTTTTAGTAGGTTATGGGATAGTAAAATTGTGGGCCCTGGGGATTGGTTAGGCGATTTTCATATGATCAATCAGAAGAAAAATTTGTATTGTTTAACCAACCATAATCATACAGAAAGAAAGAAAATTCAAAAAACAATTTTCTGGTTAATTAGAAAAAAATGATTATAAGAGATCTAGATCTGGTACAAAATAGACATGTGTAATCAATTTTTATTTTTTCCCAGGCTACTCTATACTCTCATTAGAGTAAATCCGTACAATTGATTCTTTGCTTTATTTCTTGTTTCTTTTTTGTCTAATTCACTGCTTATTAACACATTATCCAGAAAATGTTTAGGGGAAATAAAAGCAGATGAAATTTAGATCCGAAAATATACTTCACTTCAACAGCTGTAATAGTATGAAAAAACTATAAAATATTGTCTAATATTAATATGTGAGTTTAATTGAGTTGGCTATGCATATTTCCAAGACCGAAATGGCATTGGAAACTTTGATATTAAGTATGTTGGTAGATAAAGCATTAAATCATAGATGAGTTTAATTAGATAGGAAAGCTCCAAAATAATAAATTCATATTGAAATATCACAGTTAATCAAATACAAAAAGTAGATTGCTTATATTGAATTTTAAGGAAAATGGAAACCAGAGTGTTTTTCTCGTTGTCTTAAAATATGCTATAGAAAATTATAAAATAACCTGGTTTTTTTTCTTCCATTTTTAAATAGATGCAGCAGCCCTATTTTATGGACAAAAATCAGGTCAGTATCTTTCAGCAATTAATCTTTACTTTGAGATATAGCAGTATATTGTGAGCCTGCTTTTGGAATCAGAAAGTTAATGTGTTTCATACACACTTGATTTTGTAAATGAGCTACCTTGACCAGGCATTTATCCCACATGATTCTAAACTCAAAGACAGGGTTTTGGTTGATGCTGTTAATGCCGTATTCATAATGCCAAGGACATTGGCTGCTATGGAGAAAGTACTCAGTTTATATTTGTATTAAATTAAGAAAATAGCTTGGGATCATAAATAAATAATTTATTTTGCATACAAGAATTTTCTACATGAAAGTAACCAAATGCTTTGCAAGGTATACTTTCTGAAATAAACCACAAATACCCTATCTTCTTACTCAAGAAGACAAGGGGCTTCTGAACATAGTTTAATCCTTTTTGAGGACATCAAAATGAATGCCTGTTATCATAGTATATACTACACAATGATGCCCTTGGAATCAACTGATGTGTACAAGGCAGTTTGTCCCTGCTCTAGAGATGGTTTCTGAGTTTCCATGTCTACTTTCGATTTGCCTTTCTGTCTCCTCCCTTCTGTTCAACATCTATTATAGCTCTACATCCTGGTAGTATCATTATGTCTGCTCTTAGTTTATTGGGATGAGAACATCATTGAGCCAAGCTCATTAGCCTTGCACCTGTGGTAAGAAAGTGCCCTCTGAGTGAGGCCCCAAGGGATTTTTCCTGATGGATAAAGTGAATAAGTTAAGAATTTACACATGGGCTTCGTAATATCTCTATTCACTGCAGGAGGATTTGGGGACAACTTCTTGACTGCAGCCTACATAGTCAGAATTTTCCATGTATTCAACCTACATGGAGAATATTACCGTGTAATTTTTCTTTAGAAACATTTATATTAAGTGTCTCCAAACCATAATCTGTAAACCATTTCTTCTTAGCCTGTGGCTTAATATTTTTGTGTGTAGTTGTTTGTGCAACTACATACAATTTGGTTTTGACAACAATTTATCAGAACACCTGAGAAACCCTTTATCTTTTAACTGGTTCTATTTGCTGTTTGTCTTAATTTACCCCCTATATCTCTGGGATAGGTTTGCTGACCATAAGTCCTGGATTTTCCTGAATTGGATTTTAATTTCAATTTCTAAAAGTTTATCTTAATATCAGACCATATCCCTTGACTTTTTATTTGAATAGTGTGGTCAGTTTGTAGAAAATCTATGAAGATTATACAGCATAGAGAAGGGTTAAAAACAAACAAACTGCAATCCTGTAAGTCTCCAAATAAGAATATTACCTAAAATATCTTTGCAGTTTCTTGCGCATGTAATCAACATGCAACTTTATGCAAAATTCTATTGCTATTGTTAAGTTTTTTCCCCACATAATTATTGAGAAAATTCTTTTGGAAACAAATGCCTTGATGTATTAGATAACAATATTTGTGTATCTGTAAATCTAACTTAATAAGTGTACATGAATGTAAATTATGCCTTCTGTTGTAAAGTACTTGTTCCTATTGTGAGTTTTTGACTCAGCTATACTTACAGTAGCTTGAAAAGTTTGCAAATTTGCATGTCATTTATTTAAATTTGGAGAAAATTTACTTTGATTCATAATAATAACATTTAAATAATTGGTAAGTTGTGTGTACCTGAATTTTGGTATCTGCTATATAATAGAAATTGTTGCCATTTGATTCAGAAGAAGTGAATTTAGTTTGTTCAGTGTTTGTGTCACATGACAATGTCTTTTAAATAAAATTTCAGCGTTTCATCAGTAGAATAATAATTAATGCTTTAAAGCATCTTTTCAATCATCCAAGAATTATTGTGTTTTGCTGCATTCTAATTTGTACGTTTGGACTATGCTCCAGATTGGCTGGAAGATTAATGCAGACTTTCTCCTTTATGGGGGTGTGCTGGAGGCGTATAAAAACATCATGGTCAATGACTAATTACCATATTTATGCCTGAGTATTCAATTCAGAAAGCATATCTCTGTGGAAATACCTCCCAAGTACAATAAATAATTCTAATCAAGATTCACTTTCTACTGGCAATCTATCACTTAGAGATGCTACTAATGACAACAATTCTCCTTTTCTTTCTTCAGATGGTAAAGGAGTGGAAAGCAGATCAGGTAAATTACTTTGTTCTATTTTATTATACTGTTTATATTCAAAAGCAATAGGTTGGTAGTGCTTTTCCTTGGTGAGAGGGCATATCTCCCCTGGCAAAATCCTTAAAAGATTTAAAATGTAATATCCCTTATTATCACAAACAAACAACTTTAATGTGTTTTTGTAAAATCTGGGTCAGGCCTTTTAATATTTAATCAGTATTTATAAAGGTGTTGAAATTTGAAATGGAAAATTGCTCTGGATATTTGCTTTTCTAAAATTTCTTAAACCTACAAGAGAAATGTGCATAAGGTTTGACTATACTTTTTGTAGGCAGAACATGCTTTTGTTTTTTATTTCAAGATTAATTCCTTAGTGATCTATTTTAACTAAAATCGATCCTAGTCCAAACAATTTTACTAGATTCCTTCAGGTGATTGAATATCACTATTTCCTGTTTCTGTTTGTTTATTTGCTTGTTTCTCCACCCACCAAAATGAAAAATAAACCATAGCTAGTTATCAAGACTGCTTTTATGGAATTTTTCTTAAATCCAACAATAAGGTTTTTGCCAATATCAATATAGATTCAATTTCATTCTGGTCTAATAGATACAGCAATCAAAATAGCCCAAGATTACTTTCATTTGTTTTTCTCATTGGGCATTTTAGATCCCTATCTCATTCTAAGACTAAATACAATAAAATGTAATTTAAAAATGTTTTCTTTGAGGTAGAACATAAACTGAGATTATGCAGCAGCTCAGTTGTCTCATGACGACAGCAAAATTCTCTTCATAACTATGGACAGGACTTCTTATGTCCCGTCACAATGATGTAGCAAGAGTTTTTCTACTTCCAAGTCCACAAATTCTGGCTGTTACTTTGAATAAATGGGAACAGATAGTCTTTAGCATTCTCTTAGAAGCCTCCATTCAAGAAATCAGAGTGAGGCAAGGGAACACTTGGAACTTTATAGTTCTCTGGAAGTCCTTTGAAATTCTGAGAAATTGAATACATTCCTATGTCTCATAAGGAACTCTCTAGGTCTGAGTATTATTTAGGAAGGACTTGAGAGTCTCTAAGACTAGAGCTGTATTGGATGAATAACAATGCCAAACAAGAGAGCCCCTGCCAACTGACCACTCAAGGAGCCAACATAAAATTGGACAAACTCCAGGGCGATGTTATCCTCCACATTCTTCATTCTTTAATGAGATTGAGATTCACATATTTGAGAAAAGGATTCATAGGCTACTACAGGACTTCATATTTTTGGTATTCATTGACTTTTACTCATTTCAGACAGCATAACTTATTTGTCTCCATTACTTAAAAAATTTTCCCATCCACACAGCTCAGTCATGTTCACCTCTCTGATCCAACAATTTCTCTCCACAAAGTAGGGATAAAGAGGAAGGATTATATTTATTTCTCTTGTCTATTTCATTCTATGGTTTGAAGTACAAGCTAATCCTTCCAAAAATTTATGTAAAATGTATGCATAATATAGTATGACCTTACTATGAAATACGTGAACATATTTTCTTACCTTTAAGCTATAAAGTAGATAAACATGTTTTATTTATCTTCACACATTGTATTAATATAAGCAATCTGTCTTTGAGCAAGATGAAGGCAGTATACATCTTATATAAGAGAAAAGGGTTTCTTGGCAGATTTTACTAAATATGTGATCTTGGACAAATTATTCAACCTATTCTAAATATCTATTTCCTTATCTACAAGTGATGAAGAATAATAGCACCTATCATTGAATTGTGAAGATGAAAGAGATAAGTCATATAAGGTACTATTATACATTGGAGATGAGGTACCTATGAAAAACATACTGAACGTTACTACTAGTAACTTCAACAGCAAATATTTCAGAGCCAGTTTTATATAATAAAGACAAAAGGGATAAAACAATGAATAAAAACAAACATGGTGCACTGAATAACTAAGATACCAGGGCTATTAATTCAACAATAGAATGACGAAATTCGGAGGAAACATGAGTCTAATGAAATGAAGGATCTAATGAATCCGTGGGGTTGGATTCAGGGGAGGTTTGATGAGTATAGTGACCACATCATTAATGAAATAAAATGCAATAAAATGTATCTACACGAGTTTGATGTGATGTTTGATGAGGAAAACCAAATACACTAAAAGATATTGTTTATACCAATTGAATATTTGCTGTGTGTAAGACATTATGCTAGCTACTCTCATCTAATTCTCTCGTTTAATTAATAACTATTATGAAGTATATATTATGTCATCCTCATTAATTATATAGTCCCCATTTAATAAATAAAAAGAATTTGATTTAAAAGTGTTAACTTATTTATCCGAGGACAGGCCAAATGTATAGTTAGGGGCAAGAGTACAAAGGTAGATATATAAATAATGAAAAGTTATAAATAAAAGAAACAAGATATTAAATGCGTTTTTTCTTTCACCTTGGTAAAAATACATTCGTGACAACCTGGAAAACAAGGTGTCAATACAGAATTTTTAGGTTTTTTAGAATTCAATGCAAGAATAGAGTTGGCCATGCCTTAGCCAAGGTCCCTACACCCCTGCTTTTATTATGTCTGGCTTTGTCCCACACTGAGAGGAATTCCCTAGCTTACCTATCTTAGTCTATCTAATTCTACACACCAGCCACCCACTGGCCAACCTAGTCCTAGAAGAAGATACCCATATAGGCCCAGTTGGAGGCTTGGGGCTGCAGGCCGTGGAGACTTAGAATACGGTCTGGAATGGGGGAGGGAGAGTGGCACAGGCTCTGGCTAGGCATGTCCCCTTGGCCTTTGGCCTGTATTCAATGCTCTCTGAGGAGGGCCATAACTTAAGGAGAGCCAGAGTGAGATCTGCATAAATCAGAGCTTAAACTTCTCTTGCATATGGTACTGTCCAAGGCCATTGTGATTGCACATGGGGGAGCTCAGAGGGTTTTGACTCAGAAATCCACACTTTTTCTGTGACTGAATGTTGTTTTACTTCCTTCTGCTTTGCTACCAAACTAAGATATTTATATATAAAGGAGCAGTTCTAAAACTATGTGCCAATGAAGGTAGACAATGAGAGAGAGGGTAAAAGAGGAAGAGAGGAAGAGCTGGTAAAGAGGGTATGTGGAAGAACAAAAGAGACAATAACAGAAAATGCTCTGTATGTAGAAGAGTAGTATAAGTAAGAGTAGTTTGATTTACAATTTTATATTATTGTGTTGAAGAAATAACACAATAGTATAAATTGGCTATACCTGATTTAAGGACTTAGGCTCTTCTTAAACCAAAAACCTATATGTAAATATTAGAATATCATAATCTATTAAATGTTGTGTGCCTCTACCTCATAATAGATTATTTTGACTATTCTAAAATCACATAAATATTATATATTGTATACTATTTGCTTTAAAAAATGGAAATATATTTGCTAGAAACATGGAAAATGGCTAAGAATTCCAAGAGTAGTTGTTGGGGAAACGTAATTAAAAACAAAATCTCCTACCACTTCAGAAAACCTCTCCATGAAAATAGATAAGAATAGTTTTATTATGGAATAAGCATTAAACCAGAATATGATGCACATCACAGGCATTCTGCTAAAGAGATTGCAAAAACAGAAGGAAATCTCACTCTTTTATATAGCCACGCAGATGCAACCCATTACATACATCTTATCAAGACAAATAATAGCTAGTTCTCAAGTAGAGGATTTTACAGCACTGTTTGTCACATGTATGTTCATCCTAAATTTCCTTGGTAGATGGGGTAGCCAGCTATGTTTGCTGATTGCCTTTAAAATAAAAAAATAATTTATTGTATATTGGTGAATGGAAGTAGGTTTGCAATTTGTAGCTATGTGCCAGCTGAAGTTAGCTCCTTCCTCCCAGGAACCCAGGAGGTAGAGGAGCTATCTTTGTGAATAATTACATGTCAAAGTGGTGACCCTAGGTCTCTGAGGAGACATTTCTGGGGTGCTTATTGAGTCTTTGAAAAGACTTATATACATTTCACAAGGGTAGGGAAAAGACTCACAAATTTTCTAAAGCAAATGATCTAAGAAAATGTATGTGTAGGGGAAGAAGTCTGTTTCCTTATTTTTGATAGGAAAAATTAAGCCGCTTATATTAGCTTTTGTGTGGTTTTACATTCATGAGTGTTTATTGTGCTGGTCCTTGTGTAATTCAGCTTTGAGTACTTCTTGGAGAGCTGGTCTTGTCTTGGTGAATTCCCACAGACATTGTTTATCTGAGAATGTCTTTATTTCTCCTTCATATATAAAACTTAGTTTTGCAGGGTACAGAACTCTAGCCTGGGCATTATTCTGTTTCAGAAGAGTGAGAATGGGGCCCCAGGCTCTTCTTGCTTTTCAGTTGAGAAGTCTGAAGTAATTCTTATAGGCTTTCCTTTGTATGTTACTTGTTTCTTTCACCTGACAGCTCGTAGTAGGGCCTCCTTAGTCGATATTTTAGTCAATCTGATGACTGCATGACGTGGTGTTTTTCTATTTGCATTGAATCTCCCTGAGGTTTGCTGTGCTTCTTGTATCTGTATATCTAGATTTTTAGCAAGGCCTGGGAAATTCTCCTCTATTAAATCTTCAGATAGGTTATCCAGCCCTTGCATGTTTTCTTCTTCATTTTCCGGAACACCGATCACAGGTATTTGGTTTTTTCACATAATCCCACATTTCTTGTAAGCTTGTTTCTTTTTTCTTTATTTTCTGCTCAATCTCTGTGACTGACTTATTCATTTGGAAGGAGCTGTCTTCAATCTCTGAGATTCTTTCTTCTGTTTGATCTACCCTGTTCTTTTTTTTTTTATCATAATTGCACATATTTAAGATGTAGACTTTGATGTGCTTAGAAATGTGGACACAGCTGTGAAACTTTCCACGGGCAAGACAATGAGCATCTCCATCCTCCACACAGGTTCCTCTGTGGCTCTTCGGAGCCCCTCCCCCATCCCCAGGCAGCCACTGGCCTGTTTTGTTACTGAGGCTTTCCACAGTGTTTTGAAGTTCCCTGAATAAGTCTTTTATTTCCAGGAGTTCGGTTTGATTTTTCTTTAATATTTCAATTTCTTTAGTGAATTTGTCTTCCAAATCCTGGATTTTTTTGTGGTTTCCTTGTGATGGTTATCCACTTTTCCTTGCATATCATTGAGCTTAGTTACAATCCATGTTTGGAATTCTTCTTCTGTCATTTTCGTATTCTGGACTTGGTTAGTGTCATTGCTAGAGAGCTGGTGTTCTTCTTTAGGGGTGTGCTTTCCATTTGATTTTTCATACTTCCAGAAATCTTTTGCTGGGTCCTGCCCATCTGGATCTGCTGTTACTTTTCTTTGTTTTGCTCTGTGTATTTTCTCTTGATCTTCCGCTAGAGGGAGCCGCTAGTATGTTGCCCAGGGTTCTCTTGATGGGAGGGATTACTTGGGGAACTTGTTTTGGTCTCTTGCCAGGGTTTTGATTCCCTAGTGGCGGGTTTCTCTGTTGGTAGTTGACCGAAGGTGAAAATGCAATCGTACCTGAGGACTTGAACTGGTCTGGCGAGGAAAGTCACTGGGCTGTCAGCTATTGGTGAGTGCCAAAGCCCCAGGGACTGGCGCTTGTCGCAGAGGGGGAGTGGCTCTTTATGTCTCGCTGCTGCAAGCTCAGAGGCAGCACAAAAGATGCTGGCCAGAGGGAGGGGGTGCCTTCCCAAACTCCCCAACGCTCCAGCGCCTTCAGCTTCCGTAGGCGTCTGCCCCTCACAGCTGAGGAGGCACTCAGAATTCACTGCTCAAAGAAACTGGCCTGGCTAGTTGACTTTAGGTCCTGGAAGGGCAGGGCTCATTGCGAGAGCTCCCAGGCTGGGGGAAGGGAGCTGTTCCGCACCTGCGACCTGCTGTGGGCCCTGAGCTGGGGGTGCTCTGCCGTCTCCTTTATGTCTCCCTCCCCCAATTTCACGCCAGTCCAGCAATAGCTCTCGCTACTACTGGCCCACCCTGAGCAGTCCCAATCACCAGCGGCAGTTTCCAGGTTAGAGTCCTCTACTCAGTAATCACCTCCCCGTTCAGGACCCGCTGGGTGCCAGAGACCAGCTTCCTGACTCCTAACTGCCTCCGGAGGTAGCCCAGCCCAGCTCCTCCCCTGTCCGGTGCAGTCCTGACAGGGAGCTCCGGGGAGTTCAAGATGCTTCCCACTTGTGTCTCCTCTCCGCTGAGCCCCACGTTTCCTGACCCAATTCTACATCCACTTCACACAAGCCCCTGACTCTCGGTGGGCTTGTAAGTCAATGGGGAAGCTAGACTGTCTCGTGAGGGACTTGTCCCGGTGCACTTACTGGCCAGGCTGGCGCCGCCGTCTCACGCTCCACTCTTTAGTGTCTGTCTGAGCTTTCCAGGTTTTGCGTTCCAATCTCCCGTTCACCTTATTCTTTTTCCTGATTTGTGTGTCCCCCGCTGAATCTCCACCGATTCACCTCACTGTTTTTGCAGGAGAGCTATCCAATCGTGTGTAGCAGACCAAGATCTACGTCTCTTTCTCTGGAAGCGGGGATCCGGGAGGCTCCCCTAACTCCGCCATTTTTTCCCCCCTTCATAAGGTCTTAATTGTTGGGTACCTTTCCTTCAAAGTGCATAATAAACTATATTTTGACTATCTTAAAAATTACATATTTTATTTTTGTATAGTATTTACATTAGAAAAATACAAATTTACTTCTTAGAAACATGGAAAATGGCTAAGAATTGCAAGAGTAGTTGTTGGGACACTACTCTTTAAAACAAAATCTCTTGCTACCCCAAGAAACATCTCCATGAAATTAGAAGAGAAAGAAAACAGTTTATTACTAAATAAGCATTAAAATGGAATGTGATGCACATCACAAGGCATCCCACTAAGGATATTGGGAAGACAGAATGATATCCCCCTCTTACGTAGCCAAGCAGATACAACCTGTTACACATATGTTCTCAAGATAAACAACAGCTAGTTCTCAAGTAAGAGAACTTGATAGCACTCTTTGCCACACCTAGTTCATCATAATTTACACCGGATTCTTAAATCCTATGTAAGGGTGAATACAAATAATAATAGGTGATTTAATTCTCCCTATTAAAAACAATGGCTTTTTTAGTGGTCATTCATCCTCTGGTGACTCAGATACAAGAAACTCACTCTTTGGCCTTGGATTTGGTGCCTCAGAAGAATCTGAATACAAGTCGAGAAAACGTCAGAGCACTGGCAGTTTAACGTTAGCAGGCTCAGCAGCAGGAACCGTTAGAGAAAAAATACTCTTCTAGGAAATAAGTGCTTTCTTTTTTCATTTGAGATAACCTGATAATCTTTGTTTTATTTGCAGGAAATGGCTTTAAAAGTAAGAGAAACTCCTAAGGCTCTAATTCCCATGCCAATTAGAGTGATAAATTCTGTCTTCAGAGAATTTTGGCAAAGAAGTCTACATTAAATTAATTTTTTTGAAAATTTTTTATATTATTATGCTGTCTTGGTACTATTATTATAATTGCTATTCATTTTATGACATTTTTCATTATATAAATTAATAATTTAAAATGCTTCTTGGACCCAAATATTCAGGGTCTCTCCCCTCACATTTCTGTATCCAGCCACCATTTATTTTTTACATCACAATTCTCTCTTTAAATTACAACCTCAATTTGCTGAATAATATCATAAAGCACAGTTTCTAAATGGTTTGTGGCCTGCGATTTTTTTTGTCTTGGGAGAGAAATGCAAATTTCTTTAGATGAGTCATGTTCTCTTTGGTTCAATGTAGTTTTTCCTACTGGCCTATTCAAATTTTTACTATACTTGCCTCGTACCTGACATCTGTATAGTTTGTACGTCTATAAAAATGAGAAAGAATGAAGTCAGGAGAGAAAAATAACTTCAGTATTTTACATTAAAATTTAATATTTGAGTCCATGTGGTGAAAAGGCAGAAACAGCTTTGAGTGTAGGGGTGTGGTTGAAATATCTTTAGGAAGGACACAAAGTTTTCTTTTTTTCCATGAAGTTGGTATTATTTTGTATTCATTTATTATGTAGTCCCCATTTAATAGAAAAGGAATCTTTGTTTTAGAAATGTTGAATTCTTTATCCAAGGACAGTCCAATGGCATAGTCAAGGGCAATATTATATAAATGCAGTGTCTAAATAATTAAAAGTTACAAGTAAAAGGACCAAAATATTAAATGTGTTTTCTCGTCCACCTTGACAAAAAAATCAAAAACAAAAAACAAAACACGTGATATTCTGGAAGGTCAGGTTCCAATGCAGAATTTTCAGATTCATTAGAATTCAAAGCATGAGTTGGGTTGGTTGTGCCTTAGCCAAGGTCTCTATACCCCTTCTTCTTCTATGTCTGGCTTTGTCTCAAACTGAGAGTGATACCCCAGCTGACCTCAGTCCATCTACTTCGGCAAATTGGCCAACCCCTGGCCATCACTCAGGGCTAGGTGTTCAATCTTTGCAATGTGGTCTGACTGGGGCAAGAAGGTCTTGGGAAAGATGTCCATGCAGGACATGTCTGATTGCACGTGGGGAGTCCAGATGGGTTTGACTTAGAAGTCCATACTTTTTTCATGACTGAATGCCATTTTACTTCTGTCTGTGGATCCACACCTCTCACCTCTCACAAAAATCAACTCATGCTGTGTCACAGATCTAAACCTAAGGAGTGAAACTATTAGAATTCTAGAGGAAGAAGTTGGAAATACTCTTCTAGACATTGGCCTAGGCAAAGAATTTATGAAGAAGACCCCAAAGGCAATTACAGCAACAACAAAAATAAATAAATGGGACCTGATCAAATTAAAAAGCTTCTGCACAGCCAAAGAAATTGTCACAAGAGCAAACAGGCAACCCACAGAATGGGAGAAAATTTTCACGTGCTACAAATCAACAAGAAAAAAATCAAACAACCCTATCAAAAAGTGGGCAAAGGACATGAACAGAAACTTTGCAAAAGAAGACAGAATAATGGCCAAAAAACATATGAAAAAATGCTCAACATCTCAAAGTAAGATGTTTTTATGTTAAGCAGAAATTTTGAAACTACATGACGTTGAAGAAAGACACAGAGGGTAAAAGAGAAAAGCAGGAAGAGTATGTAGTAAAGAAAGATAGGTCGAGGGAAAGAGGAGATAAAGATAGGAAATGCTGTTTATGGAGGAGTAGTGTAAATAATAGTGGTTTGAGGGTTACTTAATAATAATAATACTCCATAAGAGTAGCAATAATATAATAGTGTCACTTAATGTTATATAAGATGATACCTGGTTCAAGGACTTGTATTCCTCCTAAACCAAACACCTATATGTGAATATTATAATTTTATAGTCTCTTTATTGTTGGGTATCTTTCCTTCAAACTATATTAATAGACTATCATATTGACTATTTTCAAAATTACATAAAAATTTTTGTATACTATTTGCATTAGCGAAATACAAATATATTTTTTTATAAACAGAAAATGGCCAAGAATACAAGAGTAGTCGTTGGGGAATTATAATTAAAAACGAAATCTCCTGCCAACCCAGAAAACCTCTCCATGAAAGCAGAAGAAAAAGACAACATTTTTAATACTGAATAAGCATTACACCTGAATGTGGTACCCATATTGGTTGTGATAACTAACCAATGATTAGTTATCAAGGAAGAGGACTTTAAAGCACCATTTGTCATACCTAGTTCATCCTAAATTTCCTTGGTAGGTGGGGTAGCCACTTTGCTGATGACTTTAAAATAAAAAATAAATTTCCTGTGTATTTATGACTGGAGGGAGATTTGCAATTTGTGGCCAGACACTGGGTGAAGATTGGCTCCTACCTCCTAGGAACCTAGGAGTTAGGGAGCTATCTTCCCCAATGTTATTGCATTTCCAAATGATGGCCACAGACCCTGAGGAAGCGTGCCTGGAGTGCTTATTTAGTCTTTGAAAAGATTTATGTACAGTTCAGAATGGTATGGAAAAAACAAACAAGTTATCTTTTTGTTTTTTTTTTTTTTTGGTCACATGGGCCTTATCATTTAAAGCACAAATTTATAGTACAAGTCTCCCCTAAATAATAGAATATGCGAATCTTTAAAAAGTTCATTTCTTCTGTTCCATTACCTTAGAGCAGTGATTCTTAACTTTTTAAAATTTTATTTTTTAAGTGACATATAATAACTGTACATATTTATGGAGTACATTGCAATGTTTCAGTGCATATAGAGATCGGGGTGATTAGTATATCCATCATCTCAAATGTATATCATATCATTGTGTTAGAAACTTTCAATATCATTCTTCCAGATATTTAAAACTATGTATCGTATTATTGTGTGTACATTTTAGAGAAGAATAGGAAGTACATACAAGTTTTCTACAGCCAATGCTCTATGAAAATATGCGTCTGAGGGATAATTCTCTTTCCTTATTTTTAATGGGGAGAATTAAACCACCTATTTTAATTTGTATTTGCCCTTACATAGTCTTCAAATTTTACCTACAAATCATGTGCATCTTTTTCTGGTCTATTTGGTGACCAAATGTATGTCTTCCACCACTATACAGGAATTATCATAGTTATTAAGATGTTATTAATTCTGAAGTATTTCAGTTTTATCATAGAGATTTAAAAAATGCAAATAGCGTGACATAAAGCACATATGCCTCATGTGACAAAGTATATAGTATCTTAAGAAGTGGTCTTTGTTGGTGAGGGCATTTATTAAATACGTATTAATTGAGCGCCCTCTATGGTTCAGGCCCTGTTCTAGACACCAGGGATATCTCAGTGAATAAAACAGGCAAAGAAACCTTGAGTTTAGGGAGCTTAAAATGTAGAAGGATAACGTCAATAAAGAATAACATAATTAGCAGTAAACATGGTATATTGTAAGGTGATAAATTCTATGAAATAAAATAGAGTAATATAGTGGTAATTGAGAATATAAGGGTGGGGTTACCATTTTAATTGTCAGAGAGTGCCTCTTTGATGAAAGTTAAGCTGAGACTTGAAGGAGATGAATGTTACAATTAATCTATGAGTAAATGTTTTCATCTTCTTTTTCTTTGCAGAACTACCAAAAGGAGAATCAGGTATGTTATTAATTTCATCAGCTACAAGGTGCAGTGGCCAAAGACAGTGTGGATTGAATGGAGCAGAATATTCTGATGGAGGAAAGTGGGGTTGGGAAATTCAGGCTTAGTAATGGAGAAGGGAAAAGGCAGGGGCGTTTCTGCCCCATCCAGGACAGGATGAGTTTCTAGTACACATCAATTATGAAATCTTTGCAGCTCCATTCTACTCTCTTTCTTGAGGTCTTAGATCATGAAAAGAAGCTGTAGATAATGGGATGAAGTCAATTAGTGGTGTATGCTGTTTCAAGTGCAGCCAGAATAATGGGACTTATGCATAATAAAATGTGGCTTTTCATAGTGTCATAATCAGATCACCTTTATAGTTTGTGCCAGCAATGTTGTTTTCAAAGAAAATCTTTTGTTTTCACTGTAGGTGGCTTTTTTTATGGTCGTTCATCCTCTGGTGACTCAGACACAAGAAACTCACTCTTTGGTCTTGGATTTGGTGCTTCAGGAGAGTCTGAATACAAGTCAAGAAAACATCAGAACACTGGCAGTTTAACGTTAGAAGACTCAACAGGAGGTACTGTTAGAAGAAAAATACTCACTTAGGAAGTAAATTCTTTTTATTTTTTCACTTTGTACAATCTGATAATCTTTTTTGTATTTGAACACATAGCCTTAGTTGTAATAGTGGGGACTCCAAAGGCACTAATTTTTCCAGTTTTAATTAGAATGATAAATTCTGTCTTCAGAGAATTTTGGCAAGGATGTTTACATTAAAATAATTTTTTTGATAATTTTTAAATTTTCCAATGCTATCTTTATACTATTGTTATAATGATTATTCATTTTATGGCTATTTTTCACTGTATAAAATAATAATTTAAAATGCTTCCTAGACCCAAATGTTATGTAGCATCTTTCCACTCATTTTTTTGTATCTATTACAACAAAAAATCATTTTCTAATCGCAATTCTCTGTATAAGTTACATGTTCATTTTGCCGAACAATATGATAAAGTTGAGTTTCTAAATAGCTCATAGCCTGCAATTTTTTTTTTTTTTTAAGAAAAATGTAAGTTTTCTTAGGGGAAGCATGTCTTTTCTTGTTCAACACATTTCTCCTTACTGGCCTATTCAAGCTTTTATTGTACTTGCATGATCCCTGAAATCTCTATCATTGGTGCCACTACAAAGATAGGAATGAAGGATGTCCAGTGAAGACAACTTCAACATTTTATATTATAATTTAATATTAATAATTTGAGTCCATTTGGTGAAAAGGCAGAAACAGCTTTAGGTATAGGGGTGTGATTGAATTATCTTTTTGAAGGGCACATTTTTTTTCTTTCCGTGAAGTTGATATTCTTTTGTATTCATTTATTATATAGTCCCCATTTAATAGAAAAGGAAACTTTCTTTTAGAATAGTTGAATTCTTTATCCAAGGACAGGCCAAAGGCAAAGTCAGGGGCTATCTTATAAATGCTGTGCACAAGTAATTAAAAGTTATAAAGAAAAGGAGCAGAATATCACATAAAATGTATTTTCTTATCCACCTTGACAAAAAAAAAAAAAATGTGATACTCTGGAAGGCCAGATTGCAATGCAGAGTTTTCAGATTCATTGGAATTCAGTGCATGAGCAGGGTTGGCTGTGCCTTAGCCAAGATCCCTATCCCTTGCTCTTTCTATCTCTGGCTTTTTCCCACAGTGAGAGGGATATCCCAGTTGACCTATCTCAATCCATCCACTTTAGCACACTAACCCCACCCTGGCCATCTCTCAGGACTATGAGTTCAATCTTTGCAATACCATCCGACCTTGAGAAGAAGGTCTAGGGAATGTTCACCCTGCAGGCCCAAGTAATGGTCTTGGGACTATTGCCCTGGGAACTTAGAATATGATCCAGAATGGGAGAGGGAGAGTGTCACAGGCTCTGGGTAGGCATGTCCCCTTGACTCTCAGCTATATTCTTTGCCTTCTAAAGAGGGCCACGACTCAAGGAAGGCCAAGATGAGACTTGCATATATCAGAGCCAGAACTCCTCCTGTCCGAGTCTGACAGAGGTCCTGTCCAAGGCTGTTTTCATTGCACGTGGGAGAGCTCAGATGGATTTGATTCAGAAGTCCATACTTTTTCCATATCTGGACAGTACTTTACTTCTTTTTCTTTTGCCATCAAAGAAAGATATTTATATACTAAGGAGCAAGTCTAAAATTACATGGCTATGATGAAAGACAATGAGAAAGGGGGTTAGTAACGGCAAGGGAGCAGACAGGGAAGTTTCTGTGCTGTCCAGGAGAAGAAGAGTGTCTCGTGTATGCCAATTAGTTAGCCCTCACAGCTCTATTCTACTTTCTTTCTTGAGATCTAGAACCATGCCAAAAAGATATGAATGTGATGACTAAGTCAATCAGCGGTGTATGTTTTTCCAAGTGCTGCCAGGGACTTAACAAAAAATGAAATGTGGCTTTTCAGAGTGTCAGGATCAGATCACAGGTATAGTCTGCACTAGCTTGCAATGCTGTTTTCTAATAAAATCTTCTGTGATTCACTGTAGGTGGCTTTTTTTATGGTAGTTCATCCTCTAGTGATTCAGACACTAGAAACCCACTCTTTGGCTTTGGCATTGATGCTCCAAGGGAGGATGAAGACAAGTCGAGAGGACGTCGGGACACTGACAGTTTAGCATTAGAAGACTCGACAGCAGGTACTGTTAGAAAAAAAAATACTTACCTAAGATGCTAGTGATTTTTTTTTTCCATTTTGGATAATCTGATAACATTCACTGTATTTGAAGGTATAGCCTTAATAGTGGTAGTGAAGACTTTAAACGCACTAATTCCAGTGCCAATGAGAGTGATGAATTCTGTCTTAGGAGAATTTTAACAAAGGCATTTAAGTAAGCCAATTGTTTTCCTGATAATTTTTTATTTTTTCATGCTATCTTTATACTTTCTACTATTATTATAATGACCATCCATTTTCATTACATTTTTCACTTTATAAATTAATAACTTAAAATGCCTCCTGGACCCAAATATTATATAGAGTCTCTGCATCCAACCACCATTTGTTTCCTATACCAGGATTGTCTCTTTCAATTATACAATTTGCTGAATAGTTTTATAAAGCAGAGTTTCTACACAGTTTGTGGTTTGCAATTTTTTTTTGAGTGGGGGGAAGTAAATTTCTTTAGGTGAGGCGTGTCTTCTCTGGTTCAACACATTACTGCCTACTTGCCTATTCAAACTTTTACTTGTACTTGCCTGGTCCCTGAAACCTCTAGTTCATGCCTCTACAGACATGGGAAATAATAAGTTCCAGTGAGGAAAATAGCTTCAATATTTTATGTTAAAAATATTTATGTCCATGCATTGAAAATGTAGAAACCGCTTTTGGTGTAGAGGTGTGGTTGAAACATCTTTAGGAAGGACACAAAGTTTTCTAATTTTCCAGGCACCTGTTTTGTGATTGAGAAACTCAGTCTGACCAAGGAGTTAAGGCAAATATATTATATTTGTTCTTTTTTTATAATACTGAGGTGTTAATCATCTTCTCATGTTCTGTAGAAGCCAGTGAAACTTTATCTTTAATGGCCTCAAAGCTTCACTTTTCTTATGGAATTCTCTCAAACTTCATGGTAAATTGGTTGCCATGTACACTTCTGATTATACCATGTAGCATCGTCTATGGAAAGATATGGGGTGGGGGAGATATAGAATACATCAGGAACTATAATGTAGACCTTCTTCAAGCAATGTGTATAGATTAATTTCTTGTATTATGTGAATGAATGCAACTTTTCTCTGATAATGATTGTATTTTGTGTATGATAGTTGAAACCAATTCAGCAGGTGACATTGCCAACAGTGTCTCTGATGGCATGGAAGTTGGTGGTACTTCTTCAACTCAAATTGAAATTGATAGGGATCTATCTGACCAAAATGAATTTGATGCCAATGCAGAATATGGACTAGCTGGATCTCATTTTGCTGCCAGGGAAACAGATATTTTAAGTTGTTTCTGAGTTTCTGCTTTTGACAAAAATTCAGTTAGCAGAGCAGGGATTAATGGTGTCTTTGACTAGGGCAGATTTAGTGTTAGAGGAATTCATGAAAAAGATTTGTAAACTATATGTTTGGTTCTTAAAGGATCTGTGTTATCTTCAACAGAAATAAGCAATTTAAACACTTTAGTGAAGAGGCAAATAGATTTCAGGTTTTTATTGAATGACCTGAGACCTGGGAGAAAGAGGCCTAGTTTCTATTCCCAGTCATTTACACTAACCTTCTTGTTTCCAAGTTTTGTCATTTGGGAACAGAAAAACTTTGGGCTCATGTTTCTGTCCGATATTTACCATGCTAACTTTTAAAATTCTATTACTCATATTTGGGTTAGTTTTTTTGAAAAAGAATGACAGAAAAAAATAAATTTGTGGAAGTATGGATAATTAGCATTCTGTGTTCAGAAATCAGAGACAGTGAAGGAAGCGAGGGTCAATAAAGTATAGTAACTTTAGGTATTTTTTAGTTAGAGTGATTTACTTTAAAAGATGTGGACATTGGTAGCACAGGAAGTTGGTGGTAAATTCATAGGCCTTGGTGACAATGACCATAGTGAAAATGGAATGAAAGTTACTAGAGAATCTAATCCCAGTGGTTTAAGTGGTGATATTTAATTCTTGTGCATAAAAATGTTTGAATCATAAATTTGCTGAATTATATTCTGAGGACAATCACTCTGTATTCCACAAGTTGTACTGGTGCAAAAAAATGGAATTTTTTTTTGTGATATATCAGAAAATTTGGACTTTTATTCTGAGCAATTTGATTGAAAAAGATATGGAAGCAGTAGATCTCATTAGAATGATAACAGCAATAGTGGATCTGATGTTAGCAGCTCAGGTAGTCTAATCTTGGACTCCGCTCTGGTGAAATATAAATTGATTTGAGCTTTTCATCCACTATTTTATTAACGTTTTATTTCTCTGCCAGTGGGAAAGTTCTGGCTACTTGATTTTGGGCCTGGAGAAAGGAAAAGTGGAACCGAATTTGGTTTTGAAGATTCTAGTTCAAATCAACTTGGTGACAATGCCTATAGTGGTAAAGCCTTTGATGGAAATATATTAGGTAGTTTGGGAGGTTCTAGTTCCAGTGTGCTAGGTACTGATAGTTAATTTCTGTGCACAGAACAATTCTAAATCATAGTATGCATTGAAAGTAACTCCTGTGACCATCATTTTGTATTCAGCAGGTGCCTCAAGTGCAAAAAATGGGATTGAATATTCTGATGGTGTCTCTGAAGATTCAGGAGTCAATTGGGGGTCACCTGATCAACAGGGATTTGAATTCAGTGGAATTGTTGGGACTAGAAAGAGAAACAGTGACTCTGCTGAGGCTGGATACTTGAGTCCTAGGTCTGATGTCAGTGACTCAGGTATCCTAACCTGGACCCTATTCCCAAGAAATCCAAATTAATTTCTTTCTTCATTATTCCTTTAATCACACTTTGACTTTTCATTAGGAGGAAAGACTTGGTCTTCTGGTTCTGGAAGTGGTGAAGAAAGGAAGGGTGCAGCTGAACATGGTGTTGGTGCTTCTGGACTAAATGAATTCAGTGAAACTGGCCTTAGTGGTACAGGTACTTGTGATGCTAGAAAGGACGTTTCTGGATCTGCTTCCCATGGCTTAGGCATTGAGATTTATTTCTGATGATTAGAAAGTCAGAATTCTAGATTATATTTTAAAATAACAGTGAAAATTAGGCCAGGTGCAGTGGCTCAAGTCTGTAATCCCAGTACTTTGTGAGGCGAGGAGAGAGGATCACTTGAGGCCAGGAGTTCAAGACTAGTCTGGGAAACATAGGGAGACCATGTTTCTAAAAAAAAAAATTAGTCAGGCATGCTGGCATGCACCTGTAGACCTGTAGTCCCAGCTACTCAGGAGGCTGAGGTGGGAGGATGGCTTGAGCCTGGGAGTTTTAGGCTGCAGTGAGCTATGATCATGCCATAGCACCTCCGTCTAGGTGATAGAAATATCTTGTCTCTTAAAAAAAAAATGAAAATTAGAAACATTATTATAAATAATTTAAAAAGCAAGCCTGAATCCTCAAATGTTGACATGTATTTAGATATGATCAAGCAAAAGGCATAGGATGTGGAACTGGTTTTATGGCTCTGAATATATCAGTGTGGAATTCTTTTGGTTGTCTTTGGGCTAAATTGATTTGGAATCAATTGAAGAGGTGGTTAAAGAAGCAGACGATTTGTAGAGCTCAAACTTTTTGTCCTGGATCTGGACTTGGTGGCTTAAGTTTTCTTTGCAGGTCTATCCCTGAGAAGAGTAAGAGAGAGTTCTATCCTTTTTGAAAATCTCATAAAATTTAATATTTGCACTTAATGAAAACATTAGATTGAACAGTATTGGAATTTGCAGTAGAAATTTTTAAAATAATATTCGTTCTTTATGTGGGAACTGTGTTGATGCTGTTAACAGTGTTGGGCAGTCTTGGGAGCCACTAGAGTAGAAGCCCAGCCCACAGAACTGTGGGCAATAGATCACCTCTAATGAAAAAGGGTGCTCGAACAAATAATCAGAATTCATCTTTAGAACTTAATTTTAGGATTAATACCTTTTTTAAAAAAGTGAAATCTAATTAGCAAGAGACATGGTTTAGTACAGTAATGGAAGACCTAACTCAGAAATGAATCTCAGTAAATCTGTTCAAAAAAGGCTTGGGCATACAGAAATAATAATTGTATTTTTGGTTGTTTTTAATCTTTGGAAATCAGTTTTGAAGTCAATACTTCATGGAACCAAGAAATTTGAAAACATTTATTATTTATTGGTACTGATTTTGTTTAATCACAATTGGTACACATGGTTTAAAAGACTGAATTTCTGAACTCCAGATTTGCTGCCATTAACTGAGGTATTCAAATTTAGGTTTTGTTCCTGAGAAATGTATTCAGAATTGATTACCTTTCATCTTTCTATTGTGGAGTGGTTACCAATTTGAGGTTTTTCTGCTATTTGGACATCAGATTTTGACTGTTTTCATTTCTCCATATTAGGTAGACTTTTAATAAGTAGTGTTCTTTCTGGTAGTGTATTTAATGGCGGCAAATTTACTAGCTTTGCAATGGGAGATTCTGGATCTCTTGACATTAGTTAAGATGTCAGTTCATCTAGATTAGTGGTTTTCCTATTTCTAGTTTCTGTGAAGGCAGAATCCTTTGTTCAAGTGGCTTCTTGAAATAATACCTGGATTTCCCAAATGTAAAACAATCCAGAATGGGAGCAAGTTTGGTTGAAACTGGGATAGGAAACCTAAAACTCTGTCTATTCAACCATTTTCTTTTTTCCCTGGACGTATTTAAGACAATTGATCTGGAAGAAATTAATTTGATTAATTAATGGTAATGTAGTGGCAAGGCATTTAATTTTGTCACTCCAACAAGTTTTTGAGTTAATAATATTTTTTTCTTGTACAGCTTTACATGGTCTAAGTCTGCTAGCATTAGTATTGCTGAACTTAGATCCATGGTTTATCCATCAGATTAAAAAAATAATTTTACTGTGTAAAATTATACACAGAGAGTAGCCTAATCATTTTGTGTTAAAATAGGTGTCACAAGCTCATCTGAATACAGTACATCTGGATCACTCAGTATTCCAGGTAATTTGATTTATGACTTTGGTGTTTAAAAAGATATACACACACATACAATGCTGAAATGTTCTGTTGATTATTGATTTGCTAGGACTTGATATTATTGTATTTCTCATATTGGCTTTCAAGTGCTTCTTTTTGGGTACTAAAGTTTAGATGACCAACTAGGTATTTGAAACAATTTCATGAATAAGAGAGATTAAATTCATTAAGGGAATTTGAATAAAACATAGTACAAGTTCTCCTTTATTATTTTAGACATATTTTTAAAATATCCTTATAAATTAATTAGGAATTCAATTTATTTCCACTCAATTTGAGTAAAGACAACCTATAGTAAAGAGAAGTGGTTTCAAGATAGACAATATATATCATTGTGAAAAATATTTTAAAATTCTACCAAAATATCTACTTTTGTTATTGTTATTACTGTTCTGTCCTGCTTGCCTTTAGCCCTTGCCCTAAGATTTCATATAAATTTATGTGGTTACATAAAAGGGTTATTAGAAATAAACAATTGTGGGAAGCAAAGTTTCATGGTATACATATTTTTATCTTTGATCAGGAGAGTTACATTTTCCTTATATATAGATAATTGAATTATTAGTATTAGATAAAAGACTGATTGAATAAAATTTGTGTCATGGCTTCTGAATAAAAGGGGCATGCAATGTTTTATTTGTAAAGTTGAAAAATAGTTCTGTCAGGGATGTAACATATATTAGTAATTGTACATGACCCCAAATGAATAAGCTCTTAATGAATGTTGAGGAGACTATGGTTGATTGTTCGCAGAAACAATATGGACTGCAGAGATAATCATGTATGTGGCTTTGGCAAATCCCTGTTCTCACAAAGTCAAGTTATATATTCAAGATAAAGAAATTTATTTATGGCCTTCAATATCAACTTCTAAATTCCCATGTAGAAATTCTAATATTCTATATATCTAAAATAAATATGTCTTAAAATTTAAATTATCTATGTATTGTGTTGAATAGAAAAAGGATCGCATATTCCAGAAGCAACTCCGAAATACTCAGAAACAAATGCAATTATTGGTAAGTAAAAATGGCTCTGATATCCACCCATATTTTTATGCCCAAGCCAGTTCTTAATGAAGTCACAAAGTAACCGAAATTTAAAACTAGTTTTAAAAAATTTGCCCAGCATCTATGTGTTTAATCATTGTATATTTGAATGACATCACATTTGTACTATTTTTTCTCCAAACAATATGTTTAAATATATATATATATACCCACACACCTACATACAAACATATATACATACATAGATATATACACATACATTTATATGTATATAGAGAAGTAATGTGATTCTTCACACTCATTCAATATAAATGGTACCACATTCAGACAACATTAGAAAAACTGCCTCTACAAAACAGCAAAATAAGTAAGAAAACAAACTACAACTTCCCTCCATTTATCCCTCCTCATCTTAGAGACAATTTCTGTTTTCCTGTGGGAAAGAAGATGTTTTTATTCTTGTTTTGTTTCAACCAGAATGGAAATTTTGGGTACTCCAAAGAAGTACCCAGGTACTACCTCGAGTGCGTTTTTTGTAGTAGTGAGAGAAAGAAAACACTGATTTAAGGTGGTGGCTGTGAAAATAGAACCTTTCAGTGATTTTTCTCCCATTGAGTCATGAAAGCTTTGAAAAGCAGAACTAGAAGATACGTTACTTGTTCTAAATAATTCTGAATGCTTTCCTGTGAATATTTTGTAGGTGAAGCTGCTACCTGGGGCAAAGGCGCATATAAAGCTTTCAATGGCCGCATCTTTTCCTTTGAATCTTCATGCGCGTACACTTTCTGCCGTCACTGCGTTCAATCTGGAGATTTCAATATTGAGATCAAACGAAACAATGACAGTGAGATTGAAAAAATAACAGTTCTAATTGACAATAATGACATCTCTATTTTTGGTGATCTTATTTTAGTTAATGAAGAAAGGTAAATACTAGTGTTTTGGAAAATGCTATGGAATTACTTGAAGTAAACTGAGCAAAAAAATAAAATAAAAAGAAAAAATTAAATAGGAAAAAGATGGTACTCTTTTCCCATTTTGATGTTTGTATTGATATTTATAATTTTTTTAACTTATAAATTGGACAGGAGTTTGATAAACATCTAAGACTTGGCCATATTTGGAATTGTAAGATACTGTATTTGTTCCTATAATAAGGTGGAAAAAATAGAGTATTTCTGTTTGACTATTCTGAGTATCTAGATTTTGGAAAACATATATTCAACAAAACAGTTCACAGAATATTTCAATTTGCATTTGCATGTTTAACACTATATATAAATTTGAGATTTTAAAAATTAGTGATTGAAGAAATTGAAACTCTCAGGCCACTATTTTTAGAAGAAGCAATTCATTTTTGGAAGGGATGCATATGTGAATACTTTCCAGGATAAGAAGATGAGGCATGCTATTCTACTAGTGAACATTTCAAATTATTTGATTATTTTTTCTGACTCTGAATCAATGTTTCATCTTGCTCATTTCTGCAAAGCCCCAAGGATCTATTAATTGTTCCTTAGAAGATTTTCCAATATTACAAAAAGTCATTGTTTCTTATTTTCTGAAATGATAAGAAAAACTAATATTTATAAGCCAGCATTATATTTATAACATACTAAATATGGAAACATGAATTATCAGAAAAATGTGCTGTAATAGTACTATTCTTATCTTTTAAATGTACTTGTATTTTATACTTTTCAGTGTACAGATACCGTATAACAATAAGTTGATTCGCATTAAAAAATATGGAGAATACAATGTCCTGAATAGCCGTAGAGGAATCCTTTCTTTAATGTGGGACAAAGATAATAAACTCTCAGTAAGTCCATCTGTGATTTTCTTATAATCTTGTGCTTTTTGTCTTTGAGTTTAAGTTATAAAAACAATATAGTATAAGGAAAATATTAATAAGAGGTAAGGTTTATTGAGAAATTTCTATGTATATTAGTCACTATACAAAGCACTATCTTATTTAATATTAAAAATACATTCAAGTCCGTACTATTATTAACCTTATTTTGCAGATGATGGAACTCAGGAAATGCTGGCTAAGGAAAGTTAAATAATTTTTCCAAGGACATATAGTTAGTAAGTGGTGGAATCAGTAACTATTCCAAATTCTAGAGGCAGGTCCTTAAGAAAATGTCCCTTAATACACTTCTAAGTAACCAGCTTAAACAGAATTGAATTTGAGGAGGCCCTGTTTTTCGCTTTGGGTAAATTTTGTTTTGAGATATTTTCAATATTTTATAAACATATAAACATAATTTTTTTTTAAAAGCTCACTCTTCACAAGCAATATCCAACTTGTGGTCTTTGTGGTAACTTCAACACCACTCCAGGTAAGATTTCAATGGGTTATGCCTAAGAAAATTGCTTTCCAAAAGAAAATTGGGAATTAAAATAATTTTTCATATTTTGATAAATCTACTAACAATTTGCCTTTGTCTAAAGAATGAGAATTTTTAAAATGAAAAAATATATTTATGTTGCCAAGTTTCAAGTATGAAATTTGAAAATAATGTACATAGATAAAGAATAACTTGAACTAAACAATGCTTTCTTTTTAAGGGTCAGATATTAATGAGCACATTGCCAATAGTAAGATTCCTGGTGATTGTCCCAGTGCTATTAGTAAAAGCTATGAAGTTTGTGAAGATGGAGTACAGGTATGTAATTTATATTTCATTTTTGTAATTTCAGTAATATTTCTCTTGGTTTCTTTTTTAAAATGAATTTTATTTTGTATGTTTAAGGTTTACAACATGATATTATCGGATACCTCTAGATGGTAAAAAAGGTTATTATATGGAAGCAAGTTAACATATCTAGCATCTCATAATTACCCATTTTTTTGTTTTTATGTAAGAGCAGCTAAAATCTACTCATTTAGCATGAATACCATATACAGTATAATTTTATTACCTATAGTCCTCATATTGTAGATTAGATATCTAGATTCATTCATCCTACATATATGCTACATTTTATCCACTGGACTCTATCTCCCAATTTCTTTTCCCCACCCCACCCTCTCTGGTAATCACTGTTGTATTCTCCATCTCTGTATATTTGAATTTTTTTTTTTTGGATTCTACATATAAGTGATGTCATGCAATATTTTTCCTTCTGTGTCTGGTTTATTTCACTTAGCATAATGTCCTCTAGGCTCATCCATG